AAGAGTGTCTTGCGGAAAAAGTCCAACGATGTACACGGATATAAACACCCGCGACTGAAGGAGCACTGAGACACGCTGCAAAGCTTTTATTTGTGAAGGAAATGATGGTAAACGTGAGTTTAGAGGGGTGACTGCATGATGAGGGGGAGAATGAGGAAAAAATGTGTGTTAAAAAGTCTTTCAGATACACAAACACTCAATAATTAATGCACGATCGTGGTGTCAATGCGCAAGCGCGACAGCACACTTGAGCTGATGGTGAAAAATTAACCAGGTTTTAGGTTTTTGAGCTGGTAAACGTGCCCGGTGAAATTAGACAAATGCTTGTCTGTTTAACTATCACGTGATTAAATGTTTGGATACAGAAACGTAGAGCTGCCGCCCACGTGAAATGATATTAGAGCGTTATAAATTCATTTTGCAACTCTGTTTATATGTAGCTTTCAAACTAGAAACCTGTTCAATTTATTAGTATATTTATTTATTGAATAACTACCGTATTTATTAGTGCTGCTGTGTGTTATGTGCAGGATTTTATAACCTCAGTCGGAGTAAACTGACCTAAAGCTTAGCTTACTGAGTTCAGTACATTCTTTAGGAACGGTTACATGACATTACAAGGCTGCTAGAAGCGAACTAAAGAGTTTATAGAAACATCACAAGGTGAGTCATCAGGGACAGCCCTACATTCTGTACTAGGTTATTTCAGTGTAGGCGCGCAGATAGGGTGGGGGACGGGGGATCTGTTCCCCCCCAGATTCAGATCGACCCTGATCCGTCCCCTGCACTAAGGCCAGAAAGAAAACAAAATCGGAGGTTATAAGCGCTTGAAGCTCCTTTTTCCAATTACATTGAAAGTGGTTGCTGCTAGGATGCATGATGAAGTGAAAAAGGCAAGCAACGATTACTGCGTATTTAAAAAAAAACAACAGTGTAAGTAGGCGGGACCGATCTGTCTGTTTATGCATGTTGGTTCTAGTTTCAGTACGTTGTTGTCAGTGTTGGGACTTACTCGTTATAAGCGCCAAAGCCTCATTGCTGACTTTAACAAGTCTCATCTACAAATATGATCCCTCATGAAGTTACTACTTTACACCAGAAGATAGTGGAGATGTGGAACCTTCGGGCTGAGCAAAGTTTGGGAGTTTTTAGAGTTCGAAAAACGCCTCCCGCCGCCGAGAGGCTCCCAGTCGGGGAGAGGAGGAGATGAGTGCAACATGAAGAGCGTAAATATTAGATAAAACGCTTAATTGCCGGCAGGTCTGGTCTTTGTTGACTTGATCGCTTTATCTGGTCATGACTGACTCTGATTATGAAGCAGAATATTGACTCTGATGAAGAAATTCACTCATCCAGCCGGGACGATTGACGCTGCTGCAGCATCAGACAGCTGGTGCTGCATGAGAGGTGTGTGGAGTTTACAAGCTCCAAACGTTGGGTTTGATGTTGGTTTAACCTTCTCTGGGATGTGATGGATGTAGAAATGATGGTAAAACACCGCTAACGTGACAGACGTAGCGACAATGTAAAAAAAGCCGTAAAAAGGGGCAGATGCCGATGTGTTAAATATGGAAGTCAAGTGTGCCACATAATCATAAATTTATATATATATATATATATATATATATATATATATATATATATATATATATATATATATATATATATAAAATTTTTAAAAAGAGACTTATATATTTATATATAAATAAAAACTTTCCAAATATAATGACAATTTCTAAATAATGCAAAAATATGAAGGAACATCTGTTGGTCAGGCTGAAAAGTTTGGGAACCACTGCTCTAAGTGATAAGTGAATTGTTTCTTATTATATTTTATGTGCAGTTTTTTAGGGCTTTTATGTTTTCTGTAAAGATCGGTATGCTGAAAATCATTTCATGTTTTGCATAAAGCATGAGGTTTTGCTTAGTAATGGATTGGGAGAATAACAAATGACTGAATTAAATACTGGGGCACCTCTGTCAGTGCGCCCCAGGGCAGCTGTGGCTACATCGTAGCTCATCACCATCAGTGTGTGAATGTGTGTTAATGGGTGAATGATACACTGTAGTGTAAAACTCTTTGGAGTCCTTACTCTGAGAGGCGCTATACAAGTGCGGATCATTTATCATTTATAGTGCTGATCAGGCAGAGCTTTGCTGCATAATGGCTTCAAACACGTATATAAATGTTAGTTTTTACGTAAACCATTGGACGAAATTACACAAACTGACTGAGCTCTAGTTAGGGCTCTTGCAATAGTTTGTGTATGTGTACGTGTGTGTGTGTGTGTGTGTGTGTGTGTGTGTGTGTGTGTGTGTTTGGGGGAGGGTACATTGGAACTATGTCCCCCCCAGTTTGAAAGTCCTATCTGCGCCCCTGTTTCAGTGAATATGTAAGTGTCATTATTATAAGTTTAGTAGATTATATCTACTGTTTTGATTAGTATGACTAACAAAATGCCAACGCCAATGTGCTCACACTGCTGCATATCTGTGTGTTTCAGATGAACTCCTTGTGAACGGGAAACACCAGGTTTTCTGTGGCAAACCTGTGATGGTAAATTCAGTGTTTTTGTTTAGTACATTTATCAATGTTTTCATTTGTTTAATGGCTAATTTTTCTTCAATTTTATTTTCAGGTTGGTGTGGACATGCAAAGACTGTGGTTGGCAGTTCTACAGCAGGTATTTTGTTTAGACAAGCTCATTACTATTCATGACCATATGCAGAATGAACTTTTAATTCATGGAGTAAGCTATTAAATCACATTTATGACGAGCACTCAAATAGAAACCAGAGGGTAAAATCCATACAGGCTGGATATTGGGGGTTAGAGAGAGGTTCATTTGTGTTCACAAAAAATAGATTGAATAAGTTACATGTCACATCCTAAAATCATGCATTTATTTTTTTTAGGCAAATGCAGAGTTCGTGTAAATCACCACCGAGCTGCTGGAAGCCAATTTCGTGTCTGAGCTGGGCCATTTTTCAGACGAGCTCATGCAGGAGGGGTGAACAAAATATGGCCGTCAGTGAATCAGTAAGTACAAATTAGCCTGGCCAGCCAGACTCGTCCTCTGTAATTCTGCACAGAGAAAGAGTCTGGGAACTCTCCTGTTCAAATAACCCCACCCCGTGAGAAATCTAACCAAGCCAATCAGCGCTGAGTAGTGTACGTCACACACATCGACATAAATATACTGGACATCTCCTTTCCATAGGCTCCAATATCACGTTTTTGAGGCCAAATGGGAGGTGGCCACCACCGCCATTTTGACCGTGTCACAGGTTCCGTCAAGCCCAGACAATTCCAAAAAAGGGAAGAGAGGAGGAGCTGAGGGTGGGGCTGTAAGGCTGGGATCAACTGACGACACCCGGTCAAACTAGATACAAGCTAACCTGAAGCTAACTCTGGCTAACCCAAAGCTAACGCGGAGGTGGGAGCTAAGCTAACGGATGTAGCTACCTAGCTTCAACCGGAGCTAACTCTGTGGAACACCCATTGACCTGAAGCTCACACGAAGTTTAGGTGGAGGTTTGCGGCGCTTTTTTGTGAAAAGTACCTTTCTGTAACTAAAAAAGTATTAAATCTGTAAGTTTATAATTTATTTCCGAAATGAAAATATATTTTTGCTTTGAGCTAGTTTTCAATTTTTTTAAAGTACCGTATTTTCCAGGCTATAAATCGCTCCGGAGTCGCACCAGCCATAAAATGTATAATGACGAAGAAAAAAACATACATAAGTCGTATTTTGAGGGGGACATTTTATTATGTTTCTTACAAAATCTGAGACCAAGCGTTTCACATTGCAAGACAAGCACCGGTAACAATAACAGAATAAACTACGCGGGCACAGCAGCGTGCCACGGTCTCCAGCAGAGGAAGGCGGTGTTTGAAACCCTTCCAGCGGGACAGGTGAACTCATTCTTGGGTCGGAGTCGGCCCGCAGCAGCGCGGTGTAGCCTAAGTCGCTCCGGAGTATAAGTAGCAGGACTGGCCAGACTATGTAAAAAAGTGCAATTTATAGTCCAGAAAATAGTACTTGAGATAAATTAGCAGCCTAAATACATTTCATATATTTCCAAAACGTAATCCTTGTTTGTATCTTGTACAGCCAAGTAGCCTTTATTCTGGACTCAGTACAATTCACCAAAAGTAAAGAGACATTATACAGATGAAGTAAGCACAAGATAACTTACTGGAAGATACAGAATTATTATCATGAGAACCAGAACAAGACAGCCTGATAACAGTCATGTGAAAATAACTGTTAAAAAGTATGTATGTGTAATAGAAATAAAAATATATTAGAATTAGTGTAACTCACTGTGATCCAAACAATAAATCAGCCATAGCTGATTAGTAAATATGACATGAGGTCTGGGAGTTTTTAAGTTTCATTCTTTTATTACATTTTTTTTTTAGATCTGTTAAAAGGTCACCATGGCAGCCTGTGTGTCTTCAACATCGGCTACACAACGCAGCGTGTAAGTTCCAAATACCTGTCTTGACCACTTCATGAATGTTTTGTACTTTAAACAGCTAGGCCAAACCTGTTATTTTTTTCTCCATAGCCATTTGGGTAATTGGAGACAGCTATCTAAGGCGTGGTGCCCAGATAGCTGCAGAGACCCACGGAGACAACCTTGACCTCCCTGACATCTGTGTCTCCTGGTTTGGTTGGGGTGGACTGAGGTGGAAAGACCTTCTCCCCTTCTTTTTCCACTCCCTGCATGGAACAGCAGCTCTTCATGTCCTCATCATCCACTGCGGTGGCAATGACATGGGGGTGGTCAGCAGTGTGAAGCTGGTCAACATGATGAAGGAGGGCCTGCACCGGCTTCACCTTCTCCACCCTCATATGACCATCATCATGTCGTCCATCACCCAAAGGTGTAGATAGAGGGCAGGTGTAAAACCTGCCAAAATTGAGAAGGCCAGGAGGTTTGTCAACAGTGTTATGGCTACTTTTATTTCTAGTTTAAATGGTGCCGTTGTTGTGCATCCTCACATGGCTTTATAATAATTGTAGGCAGACAGGAGACAGAGCTGATGGAGGTTCTCAGTCATCGAAGGATGGCTGAAGGCTTTCCAGGAACAGGAGATGTGGTGTTGTCTCTTCTCTCTCTATTCTGCCAGATGAGCTGGTAGGTTACAGGTGTGTGAGGACATCCTCATGCTGTCATAACCAGATGACAGGAGTTATCAGGTGATCAGCCAGGCTAATGATGAGATGCAGAAAGAAAACAAATCATGCAGAAAGAAAACAAATCCAGGACAGTGTACAGTAATAAAAATAATATGTGGTGTTGCTCACCTTATGTGCTCTTATAGAGTTATTAACGTGTGCCTGCCTCATGGTGTAGAGTCCATATTTTGCTGAGTGTCCTGCAGTAATGCAGGTTATTAGTTAATTTACTTTTGATAGCAAAAACAAAATATTTAATTTAAAAGTTATTTACCAGGTGAATCAGCTCACACGTCACCACCAAGTGTCACAGGGCCTGAATCAGTAGCCTCCTTCATGATGTAATCACATACTTATTTAATTGTTAATATCTTAAAAATTCAGAAATGTTTTAATTTTTTTACCTTGAACAGTTCACTGAGCTTGCACTGTCACTGAGATGGAAGCTGGAATCAACAGCAGACACTTCACATCTTGGTCTTTTCAGGAGGTGTGGATGCTGCTCTGGGACCTTCTGGAAGATGAATTTCTGTCATGGTCCCTGTGTCACAAGACACTGAGGCTGTGAGCTGTATAAAAAACAAAGAAGCAGCACATTTATAAACGTTTAAAAGAGCATAAAATCACTTGTAACAATCTGTAAAACAAATTAAAACTAGAAGGTAATAAAATGTTTACATAGAAGATTATTAAAAATAATTCACCTTTGCTACGGGTAACACCACGTCAGCCTGGACAAGTGCATTCTTGCAGATTACTAAATCAGTCTGTTAGCCAGTGTCTTGGGTAGATTTAGCCTGAAAAAAAAAATAGAAGCACATTGATGTTTATAAAGTCAGATAAAATACAAAAGAAACTGTCCCATATAGGCACTTTATAACATTCCTAGTGTGTGATGTTATTATAACGTAAAAGTCAGTCACATATGATGTGGAGAGCCTGAAATGCGACCTCCTGAACAGAATTCCTCACGGAACCGGGTCACGCTGTGCTGGATTTCACGCTGTAATGCTGTCTGTCAACTAGTGCTGCGTCAGTTAGAGTCACTGTTGCAGAATTAACGACTGACACAAAAACAACCCGCATTTTCTCTGAGCCTGACAGTCATGTGGACCGTTTTGTCGGCCAGGGCTTCGAGACATGGACGTCACTAGGATTGAGATATAGGGGGGGCTTAGCCCCAGGAGCTTGACCTCGAACGTTTTTTGTCACACCCTGCAAAAACTTTGTCAATTAATTCATTATCTGAAGAAAATCTAACAAAACCTATTATTTTATCACTTTCCTTTCCTACTTTTGTGCATTTTCTCTCTTCTTTTTATAAAAAATAACACTTAATCAGTTAATTAGTGGGGTCTATGTTGAAGAAAGATTTTATGTAAGTCCATTAAAAATTTGATATGTTATATTTCCAAATAAAGCTATTCATTTCAGTCTACTGCACTTAACAGAGGGAAATGTTGTAGTCATTTATTTAATTTGTTTAATTACAACTTGTTTAATTATAAATGTTACTGAAATGTGACAATAAAGAACAAATGAATAATTGTCAAACTTTTATTCTGCAAAATGAGTGTGCAGTTGACAGTTTTAATATATGAATAACACTGCTATGATATGGAATAAAGGAGTATGTAATTAACTATTACAAGACAAAATAACAGTATATATGAAAATATCCAGCAAGTAGTAGAACTTATAATACAGAAAGTCAACTATACAGATACAACTTGACATAAGGTTGCAGGTCAGATGATAATTATAGTTTTTTTTTTTCAAATTCTCTTACCTGTTCACTCCTAAATAGAAAACTGTTCAATTTTGCTTGGGAACTTTGTGCTCAGGTAAATGCTCATAACGATGTGCTCGCCCCTGTTTTCTCTGTAGATCACTGGCCTTGACCATGCAGATCTCCCCAGCATCAACCACCTGGTCTCTCTCCTGTTCCTCACTCACTCTCTTAAAAAATCTTCGTATATCCATCTAGCCAACACAATGAAAAACATTTTCAATTTCTAATGCCAAGACAAATGCTGCTATGCCATTTAGTTTTCACTCACAATAACTGAAACAGCCATTGGTGGATAGATGGTACAGAATATGGACAACTGTTAGCCTAATATAGCCTATGTTTGGTTGCTCATGATGATGGCATTTTCCATAATATCACATTAAGCTGCCAAAATTTATGTTAAAGTTAGATGAGTACAATATCTCCTTCCTTTCCCATAGGTAAACATAGGAAATATTAAGCAATTGACAACCCACATGGAAAGAATTCATATAAACATATAGGTTTTAATATATGTTTTGATGTAGCTTTTGAATATATGTGACATATATAAAACTGGCTGTTTACTATATTATAGATACATATATGTACCTATAATATATATATTATAGAAAAAATATATAATATAGAAAAATGGTCAATAATATACACATTCGGCCATATTCAGATTCAGGTTTTTAGTGTGGAGTGATTTTTGTGCCACCAACTGGAGCGTGCAGTGATCAATCTGCAAAAGCACAACCTGCTCTGCAGTCGTATGCAGTCCTATCTCTGCATGCTCAACTCCGTCCCTGCCTGCACAAATATCCCTGTTGTTGCTCAATTTGCAATTTACAAAGCAATGTAGCCTCTCCGTCAGCCAATCAGACAGCTCTCCATTATGCAATCAAAGCATGTCCAGGAAATACTGCCAGGAAAATTGCACTTTTTTCAGATAAAGAGGACTTTATATAATTATATTTAATTAGGTTGATTAACCCTCCTCTTTTCCTGGGACATTTCCACTGTTCACTTCCTTTTACACATCAAGGGCTCATTTATGTCTAACCAAACAGAGAAGAAACACTTTATATGTTGAAATTAAAAGTCCTCTTTAACTGAAAATAGTGCAATTTAACAGTTTTAGGAATGGGCAATGTGTCTTTTCTGGAAGTCAAATATGGTCACCGTAATCATGACACATGAATTACAACAAAGTATTTTGCAGGCAGTGGATGGTGACTGGTAGCTAACCAGCAGCAGAAAGCAGTTCAATTAGCTGTTAAATGGGTGTTTTTCTGTAAAGCAGTATTTCCTGGACATGCTTTGATTGGATAAAACAGAGCTGTCTGTGATTGACAGTTGGAGAGGCTACTTGTTGAGGAGAGCAGGGAGAGATTTGCATCGCAGAGACAGAGTTGAGCCCACAGAGCGGGCTAAAGCTCCTGCACACAAGCGCAGAGCAGGTTCTGTTTGTGCAGACTCATTACTGTACGCTCAAGTTGGTGGCACTAAGTCACTCAATGAACTGGCTGGCTCGTTAATCACGTCATTTCAGGGGAGTTTTCCGACCATTTAACTATGGCGCGGCTTTTCATTATGGTTTGCGGCATGTAAACATGCTAGCGGAGTTAGCATTAGCATGTCGGTGCGGTAGCATTTTCCTCTCTCGTCTGAACTATAACCTTGAAATATTAACGGTGTGCTGCTGCTGCTGTCTTACCCTAATGTGATGTTGAGTGACTTACAAGAGCGCTGAGCAGGGTTTGCTCATCGATATAAAGGTTTTGCTGTATAACCCCTGCCCCTGACTTGTCAACAAAGCTGCCGGGCTTAAGGGGAGGAAGTCCTTTCTTGATACTTCCTGTGTGCGACGGTGTAGTTCTATATTCATTATTATTTCTGTTTCAGACTAAAAAAAACTCATGTACCAACTACACGTGTCGTGATTGTGTTGAGCATGTAGATGTGAACAAATAAAAAAAAAGTTAACTGAAAAAATAAAATAAACCAAAATGATAGGGGGGCTTGTGATTATTTTAGGGGGGCTGAAGCCCCCCTAAAACGGACCTAACGACGTCAGCGCTTCGAGATATGTTCCGATTCGCCGCTGATTCTAACCTTACATCCCGTTCCACATTTTGTGAACTTGACAAATCAGCCCGAAGGCAGTGCAGGCTGATATTAGCTAAATGGAGTGAACCACGTCTCTCAAACTTTGCATTTAGGAAGGGAATTGTCTTTAGAAGATGTTAAAACTTTTATTTAGCTTACTCACCTCAGACTGGAGCCCGTCATGGTGGGGGAGCAGAGTCAGTGGGCTGTATCTAAATCGCGGAAGAGCCACGGTGGGCACAGCCTCCCTCTTGGAACGGAGACGTGCAGAATCGCGGGTAAAATGCTGGTTGCAAACTACAGCACCAGGCGGGAGCTGAATCTTTTCCAGACACGCAACCACTGGCGCCTAATTTCTAAGTCCAGCGGAAAGGAGTGCAACCCGACAGAGCTCCGCAACCATACTACACTACACCATCTCACCATGCTAACACGATATGGAGCACTAAACCCGAACTACTTTCCTAATTACACTAACAGCCAAACAGTAACTAAACTACAATATCCAACAGCCAAGCTAACACTAAATAAGTATGTATAACACTAAAAGCTATGCTAAAGACTAGGATATGCTAATGCTATATGCTAATGCTGAACTACAGCTAGCCTCCTACACTCGCTTGCAAATCCAACTCCCAGCGTGGCCGAGACGCTCGATCCTTTTATAACTTTGACAGAGAGCTGCTACGTAGTACTCTACTGGTTTACGTAGTATCTTACTCTTTAGCCATTGGCTAAAATTTATTCAAAATGAGTCAAATTCTATGTTTTAAGCTGAAGGTGGAGCTATACTGTGGAATTTAGGCAGAATTTTTAATTTTTAAAGAAAATGCACCAAAATGCTAAAATAATGAATACACACATTTAAAACACTATTAGACACTCATTTTTACAGTTCATCAGCAAAAAAAGTTAATTTAGACGTTACTTGCTCTTTAACCATTGAGCTTCATCATCCTGGTCTCTTATGCGTCTTCGTGTGCGCAGAATTATGCTTAACATAAGTCCTATCAGTGTGAGGAATTCTATCTCTTCGTCTGCCATGTTTGACTGAATGGCTTTGTTTGGGTAAAAGACGCATGTACGCCCGCCGCACTATGTCCCCCCCCCCCCCCCCCCCGGACATCTGGAACTTTTCCCTGCTGTGTGAAGGCAGCTGAAAGGACAAGTTCCGGTACAAAAGTGGTGTGTCTGAAAACACAGTTCTGGTTAAAAACCAGACTGAAAGACTGAATTGTCCACACATATTCCGGAATGTCAATCTGAAAGTCCGAGAGCTTCGCGAGCGGTCAGCCCGCGCAGCAGCTAGGCGCCGCATCGATCAGACATGCACATGGCTGACCGCCGGGGAGAACCGGGTGAAAGAATGGAACACAGAAGTGTCCCTCCATGAGCTCTGTCATATTTCAACCAATTTTTATGTAAAATGCACTGGGTTTTACCCTTTTACCCATCGACATATGCCCTATTAATTATTTTACCTTATTTTACATCTAAATTTCATGCTTAAACAGTACATGCTACATGTTAAAATGATAGTTAGCTAGCTACTTCGATAAACTCAGCTAGTAAAAAGGTGGCAGTGACCTAAAATACATAAATATAATTTAACTTACCGAAAACAATGAAGTGGAGACTCCCTGGACGCTCTATTAGTGCAATTAATACCGCAGCAAGTCATTTTGTCCAACAATTGCACAAATAATATCCAAAAAAGAATACAAAAACAGAGACTCAATATGCCGGAGCAGTTTCCAAGCCAGACTGAGGCTCTACTGAGGCCTTTCCACGGAGCTAGCTCTGTGGTCACGTGGGTCTGAGGCGGCAGTCACGTGGGTCTGATGCTCATTAATTATACAGAATTTTAGGTTTTTAATACTAAACAGAAGAGTGAGAAAAAAAAACTCACCCCCCTCACAGTTGTCATGAGTGTAAACTAGATCATTTAAACCAAAAACATGTTTTGGTACCAGGCTGTAAACATGCTTATTTCTGCTGTGAATTTGGTATTTTGAACATGGGAATCAATGGGGATTTGCTCGCTTCTGACACCAGCTCCCAGCGGATGAGGGTGGAACTGCAATTTTTGCTACTTCCGGGTTTTACTCAATTTTAGAGCTCCATTGTGGGGGCTTGGTCACACACCATAATACAGAGTTTGTTGAACATGGTGACTGAAGCAGAGTTAGCTGCGGATCTTTCCTCTGTTCTTAATGACTTGGACACGTCAGATGCCATTTTTGACCACAGCTAAAGAACTACAGCGTCGCGGACGTCACACACGGTGACGCTCTGTTTCTCATAAACAATGAAGACAGCGGCGGAGTTTGCTGCAGCTCTTTCCTCTGTTCTAAATGCCTTGAATGTCTTTAAAACCACAACTATTAGAAGCGCTAAAAGCATTTCTTCTAAAAAAAAATAAAAGATGTTTGCGTCTTTGCCAGACACCATTTTTTACTACAGCTAGAAAACTGCAGAGCAGTGTTAATTTTGACAGGAAATTTTAATTGTATTTTAGTCTTAGTCTTTTGGCTAAACATTAATTTTAGTCCAATTTTAGTCATTGGATTTATTTTAGTTTTAGTCCCATTTTAGTCGACGAAAATAACAAGTAATTTTAGTCGATAAAAATAAGCAATTTTAGTCAACAAAATGCATGTATTTTTTCTAATGAAGTAATTTCATACTTTTGTATAGAGCACGGAAAAACTAGTGTAATTTAATACACAGGGTCCAAACTCTTAACCACCACTGATCAGATATAGCACACACAGCTAAGAACATAGAATATTTGAATAAAAAAACACTTCACATGTTTAACACTTACGTGTTTAATAAAAAACAAAAAGCACACTGGAAATTACAAAGGTGCTCTTTTTAGCAATTGCACAACAAGAATTTACAAGAACAGCAAATTTAAACATGTTAACCCTGAGTCTGTAGATATTCACTTGTTACAACACAGGCTCAACCAAACAGTGTGAATATTTATTTGCTGCTATTCATTTTGAGAAAAGCACTTCATGCTAGTGTGACCTTTTCTCGGTTGCGTTTCCCTCTAGTGAGGTCACCTGTGATACTGAACACTCTTTCTGCAAAAGATTGAGAAGCTGGCATTGCCAATATATCTAATGCTAATGGTTTCAGGCTGTGATAAAATGTGTCACATTTTCCAAGCCAAAACTCCATTCCCGTTTCACAAGTGATTGACTGTGAGAGCTCTTCCTTATACTGGCTTATCTGCTGTCTAACACTACACTTGGAAGATTTTGTTTAGGCTTTGTTCCGAATTTGGAGAGAAACCTAAAGACTGGTTGTCTGGAGGAGGAGGAGGCAGATGATGAAGAGGAGGCGGCGGCGGGTGGTGCCGGTTCAGGTCCATTCAGTTCCTCCAGATCAGAGTGGTTCTCCTGTGTCTGAGAGCACCGAACAACATACCCTTCTGCCTGCTTGAGCAGCTCCTGAATGTTATCATCAGCCACATTGAGGAGGGTCTGACACACAGTAGGATTGAGAAAGCAAGCAGCTGCTACAAGTGGGGAAAACTTGTCATCTGAGGGATCAAGTACCCAGGCAAAACGCTGGTTCACATTCCCTTCCATTTTACGGGCTAGAGCAGCAACATCTCGACTTGTGTTTTGTTCCACATCTGCCAGATGGCTGAGTAAATCAAAGAAAGCAGGGAGTATTAATGACATCGACACTGTGTCACTCTGAAGAGTTTGTGTGCTCAGCAAAAGGCTGCAAAAGTTCTTGCATTGACTTCAGCTTCTGCCACTCAGTTGAGAGCAAGCAGTCCCATCCCATCTCGTTTGCTACTTCACAAACAGATTCTTTAACTTTGAGGAGACGTGCAACCATTTCATAAGTACTTGACCAGCGTGTGGGGCAGTCATTCACAACAGTTAGGCCGCACTCATCCAAAATCTTCTGTGTTGCGACTGATGACTTGCGAAAAAGTTTCACGATTGATCGGACTTTGTTCAAGACTCTGTTGATGCTTTCCTCCTTGTTTATCATGTGGACAACAAGCTGCAGCATATGGACGACACATGGCATCCTGTCCATGCCCATGTCCTGACACTGCAGGTTTTCTGTCTCCTTGGAATCACTTTCACTTCGGATGGATGCATCTGGATCATCGGAGCTGGAATCTTCATCTTCTGGAGCACTATGTTTGAATGCTGCCACCATATTGCTACCATTGTCTGTTATTACGGTGAGAACTTTCTCATTTAGGATCCCCCATTCTTGCATGCACTTTTCCACACATGCCTTAATGGACTGGGCAGTGTGCAGATGGTCAAGTTGTTCAAGAGCTAGCAGTAAGTGTTCTGGTTTTTGTTGTTCAACACAGAAAAAGCAGCAACTTATGCCAAGGAATGATGCTGTCAGTCCCTTTTTAGTCCACAGATCAGTCCCAATACATACTTTTCTGGCACTAGACAGTCTTTTCTTAAATGCAGCTTTTTTGTTTTCATAGTATTTTTCAATTAGATTACTTATCTTGGTTTTCTTTGGCACAGTAAACTTCTTATCCAAACTTTCCATCAACAGAATAAAATCCTCATCTTCTACTGTTGTGACCGGCAATCCTGTACATCCAATCCATGTAGCGATAGCCTCTTCTTTAATTTGTTGTTCTTTGGCATCACTCTTGTACTTTGTAGTACTTGTAAATGCGTCCTCAATGTTCTGGTTGGACATTTTTGCCTTTTTGGTAGCTGGTTGGCCACCATCAGCAATGGTTTTCTGCAACTGCAAAAAAATAAAAATACACAATTAAAACATTGACTTTCTAACAATGATTTACCTATTGCTTTTTGAGATTTCATACATTATATATATATATATATATATATATATATATATATATATATATATATACATATATATATATATATATATATACATACACACACACACATAAACATCTGTGCGGGCTCGGGACTCGGATCATATTAGTGCAAACCAGACATTGTGAAAATTATAAACAGCCAACAGCATGCTTCACTTTACTGGTCTAGTCCTGGTTTAGAGCGCACGTACAGCGAGCGGCTGTGACCCAAAAAGTACCAGAACCGCTCACGGTGCATGCGCAATCATGCATCAACACTGCTCGCCCGCTATTTCCCTAATAACACACGTTATAGTCATGAAAATATGGTACTTCCGAATTTTTATCCCAACATGACAGTGTTGATACAGTTTTATTTGCCTGTATATTACTTTTCGGGTCGTCACGTGTACAACATTTAAGTGGATTTACCTCGGAGAAAATGGCGAAGTGGCCATTCTGTAGATGCCTCTTCAGATTCGTTGTGTTCTTTCCTCGGAACGACAGTCCACACTCTCGGCATGTAGTTTTGGTAGCAATGTTATCATAAGAAAAATGACTCCACACATCTTCTCTTCTTTTTCGCCCAGCAGTTAACATTTTCCTCTACTCCTTCTTCTTATGCCGTTGATATATTCAGTGAGCTATGTTTAGAACACAGCGCATACCTGCCCCCTTATACTATTCAGGGTCTGTCTTCTCTCACGTCGTCCCGCACGTTCACGGCACGCCACGCCCCTTGTCTTCTACTACGTTCGCATCTCACAACAACACAATAGTCGCACCGCACCATAGAGCGCCATGTAGAAGAGCGTCATCGTAGATTTTCGTCTCGTCTTTCATTCGTTGACTAAAAGTTTCAATCAATTTAATTATCGTCTTCGTCTTTTTCCAAGCTTTTATTTTGAATTTTTGTTTCATTTTCGTCTGTAAATATATTTTCGTGACGAAAAAAAAGACGAAAATATTTTTTCAACAAAATTAACACTGCTGCAGAGTGGTGCGGTACAGTCGGCATTTCCATCTTTTTTCTGATTGGTTATTTTTGAGCTGCCCAGTCCTGCCCCTCATGTGCCTCTCTGCCTGTGAGTTACAGGACTAGTTCTCTGTGCAGAATTAAACAGAGGGCGAGTCTGGCAGGCCAGGCTATGTACGAATAACATCTATGAAGTTAAAGTGGTCCTTAATCAGGTTTGTTGGTGGGACGACAGTAGAGGAGTTAACTTGTCTCAGGCCTTCTCACTGTGGATGTGTTGTGAAGCGCCTTAGGGGGTTGTAGAGCACTAGAAGGTGCTTTACAAATGTAGACTATTTACCATGTTACCCTTAGCTGGCTGGCATACGTATGAAACTGTTACTCTAAAGTAAAATGTCTATTTCATTTGTAGAAATCGATGTGTCTTGTTGTTTTGTGACATGTAGCACTTTCATGTTTCTGTAAATTTAGATTCTGGGGCTGACTCATAATTTCAATCTTAGCTCAAGTCAAAGATCCCAGCCAACCTGTATCCCTGGTCAGGTTGGACTTAATGTCCACCTCTTACTTTTCTTCACATCCACTACATTTTTATTGGGTAGCAATTAGGGATGGACAATAGATCAGCATCAATATCGGTATCGGCCAGTGTAAGTCATTTTTTAACATATCGGTATCAGTTCGATAAATAAAACCGGGCCGATATTAACAACCGATATTTTTTCCATCTCGTCTCCATTTGTTTGACTGTTTCAGAGGGTGAGGGGGGTGATGTGTATTTGTTTAGTCATGTGAACAGTGAATGAAATCATCTCAGAACTAGGGATTGTACGAACTAGTCGACTAGTCGACTTCACGGCTCTGTAGTGACTTTTTATGCCTGTCATCAACTAGTCGCTGTCACGTGATAATGACTGACAAGATGCAGTCCTCAGAAAAGACAGCAGGTGATGAGCCCCTGCGCGTCTGGATCGAGGCGGAGGCGACGTGCTGTGCGGTACTGACACCGGCGGTAAAACGGATATTTAACCAAACTGTGACGTTTTCCCTCTTGCAATTTAACCTTCCCCTCACCCCCATCCTAATCTTAACCAGTTTGTGCATGCAAAGCTCTGATCGTTGACGTGCGCTCCAGACATTGCGTCCTGAGCACCGCCAAATCAGGTGTCACCACCTCAAAAACAAATTAAACACGCGATCGTTCATGTCGGCTCATTTCCTTTCATGTTTTCTGTCTGTTATTTGTGCCTGATGCGTTTCGCTGCTGCGGAGCGAGGCTCTTCACCTGTTGTCCTCCGGTGACGCACCCCCAAGATTCCATTGTCTCCACTCTACTCCGGCATGAACTCCGCAGCAAAAACGGTCCCGTTGTAGTGGGCCGGCGAGCAGCGGCACTCCGCTGTTTTTGCGGTCGGCAGATCTTTTAGAACTGCAGTTCAAAGGTAACTCATGAGGTGAATATATATGAACCCAGGTAGCAGTTTTTCTTTAGGATTGAGAGGAGATGTAGGAAGATAATAGACAGACAGGACAGAAAAATAGTCAAATAAAAACAAGTTCGTTTTTGTACCTGGTGGTTGCAACAAACAGACACCACTGAAGGTCATCAGAAGTGAGGAACAGAAAATGAAATAATTATTTTAATGTTTAGAGCAGCAGGAAAGGCTACAGGCGCATCAGTGAGTTTGCGGCTGCTGCGCAGGGGGAGAGGACTGAAGTAGGATGCAGAAACTACCGTTGTTAAAAGAGATGTGTTAACTTAGAAAATGTGGGTGCAATTTTAATTGTCAAAAACTCCAGCGAACCTACCGACCGCCCCCCCCCCCCCCCCCCCCGCTTCCGGCGTATGACGTCATCGACGACTAGTCGAAGTCGACTCGACTTTCATTACTTGACTGTCGACATTAAAAAAAAATAAAGTCGTGCAGGCCCTACTCAGAACCGTAAACGTGTGTGGTGTGTGTAAATAATAATGTAAATTCAGCTTTAATAATTTTGATTCTATATAAAATCTGCTGGTTTTAGAAGCATTAATGTCAGTTAATCAGTATTGGCCATAACAGTGATCTTAATATCGGAAATCGGTATCGGCCCAAAAATGTCATATCGGTGCATCACTAGTACAAGTCAAGTGAAAGTAAGTTCATAGCTGAAATGACAAAAATACAATTATGTCTCTCACACACATTTTTGTTATATCTTACAAAAATGCATCTTTGCACTTGGCTTTTGCCATCTTTCGAGGGATAAAGTAAGGTGGATTATATTTTTCTTCTCACTACATACCCAAACTACCTCAGCTGGTTCATCTGAACATGTAGGAGCAGCGGCTCTACTCTGAGTCTCTCCCAAAAGTCTGAGCTCTTCATCTCATCTGTAAAGCTGAGCCTGGGCATCACACATATATTCTTGAGCTTGCTCTTTCAGTAATCACCCACAGCTATCGCATCTGTGAGGATTGGGATGATGATCGTTTCTCTTCACCACACGAGCGGCTTAGCGTCCCTGTTGTCAAGTTTTAATGTTTAAAACTAGGCATGGACAACACATCAGCATCAATCTCAGTATCGGCCGATGTTAGTCTTTTTTAACATTTTGGTATTGGTTTGATAAATAAAACTGGGCCGATATTAACAACCAATATTTTTTCCATCTTGTCCCATTTGTTTGCCTGTATCAGAGGGTGAGGGGGGTGATGTGTAAATGTTTAGTCATGTGAACAGTGAATGAAATCATCTCAGAACTGTAAATGTGTGTGGTGTGTGTACATAATAACAAAAATTATGCTTTAATAATTAAATTCTATACAAAATCTGCTGATTTTATAAGCATTAATGTCAGTATATCGGTTATCGGCAAATTTCGGTTATCGGCCATAACAGTGATCTTAATATTAAATATCGGTATTGGCCCAAAATTTCATATTGGTGCCTCACTATTTAAAACATTTACATGTGGAGTAAGTTTAAGTGTCAAAGACTATTCCTGTGTTTTTGTTATAATTAGTCTTCATTAGACAAACTGATTTTATTTATAGACTCATTTAAAGTATTCTAAATAAAAGTGTTGATTTGACCTACTAAACAAACTAGTGAGAAAAAAATGTCAAGGTACTTTGCCTGTTGAATGCACACTAGGTCATTAAGTTTATGTTCTGAAATAGCAACTATATTTACACTAATCTTTTTGTTTTTTCAGATCTCTGACTGATAAAGGCTTCCCCAAATACCTCAGGATCCACCCTGGGTATCATCACATCCATGGACATGTGCCTGAAAGGCCAGAGGACGTGGGTATTGTTACTGAAAGGTATTGTGTGATGGATAACCTCTGCAGTATCATTGTGGCGTCATCGTGCAGTTTGGACTCATTTGTGCTCTGGATCTGAGCTTTTCTGACGACATAAAGGACTTTTGAGTTCTGCCAGAAGATGACGAATCTTGATCGGCACAAGTTGGACACAAGGTGCAGCAGTTGGACATCGAGCTGCTTGTATCAATGTTGTTTGGACCATATACAATAAAAGAACTGAACAGCACAAGGACTTTTATTGTTCTGACCAAATGGACTTTTTTTAACGAATGTATTTTTAAAACTGACTGTGCCTTTTGGTGTTGCACACAGAATGTCCGTCTCTGTTGGAGCTTGTTTTCTTTACTGCACTGTTTATTTAATTAATGTTTAGCACTTTTAATTTTATTGTGAAGGTCTAAAAAAATATTTTTAAGCAAAGTTACACACTGAGTATCTGCTACATTCTTTCGATCGGAGCTTCTTTATTGGTAACTGAACAGGTTTGTAAATGTTAAGTTTAGAGATGGCTGTGAACCTGTGGCCTGCATTATTAATAAAAAAATGAAAAATATTTGAGTTCAATCAAATATTAAGCTTTTCATTCCTTATTTAATTGCTGTACTGGTACTTATTTGCAGTAGTTTCACAAAAATTGAACTTTTTTTTTTTTCAAATAAAATGCCTGGAAACTAAAAATGTCGTTTTAAGAACAAAAACGTTTAATGTATTTTAGATTTGACAAATTTTAGTTGGTCTAACACAAATTAGCTACATTATAGTAAATTGAGCATTTTGTTTTTCACCAAGAGAGTTGGTTTCAGTTAATTCAACTCAAATATCTTTAGTTTGGAAAAAGCAATATTTTTAGCTTGACTACATTTACAATTTGCATTTTGTTTTGTTGGGGGGGGGGGGGGGGGGGTTTGCACAGCATCTGTCTGCATTCCCTCGTGGTGGTTTGTCGCTAGCCTCTCAAGGCTGCTAGGGCGTCAGATTCGGATAACAAGACTTTGTTTGGGTGAGGCTGAGATAATTTTTCTCTCTGCCTTCAGTCTTTAAACTGATCATTCCAGTCCTTCAGTGAAGCCAATTTGGGGTTTTAAACTTGTCCATATCGTCTGGTGATCCTCTCCGAGATGACATCCATTTTGCACACTAATATATATGCAAAGTTTCTGGATACTTTTCAGGATAGTGGTGAAAAGCCTTCTGCCTATTTACAACGCCTGTAAGTGGCGTTACAATGTGCTGCAAAAAGAGGTGGTGTTTCAAAGGATGACATGGACAAAAGACTCCTGAATCAATTCTGCAGGGGATGTTGGGACAATAATCTAATAGCAGAACTGCAACT